CACACACACACACACACACACACACACACACACACACACACACACACACACACACACATACATACAGACGTACGGACATCATCGTAAAAATAGTCAGGGAAGTTTCCTGTGACCTTCAAACGTCGAGATCTGATGAAAACTCGATTTTTGTAAAACGGGGTGAAAACAATAACTTCCCGATTTTCGAAAATCTGAGATTTTTAGCGGGAAGTTAAAAATTTTCTTTTTTTGTCGCGCTATTTCTCAAGATTGCGTGACAACTAATACTAAGAAATTTTTAGCTGAAACATCTAAAATATTAGAATCTCTAAGCTTTAAAATGCTTTCTGCCGATCTCTGCTACAACTATTTTTCATTGAAATACAGCCTGCCAAAAATAGACTGAAAATTTCCATTTTCTTAACTTTAATTTTTTTCACTAGCGTATGTATACATAGGAGTGTTTCTTTTTTTAAATCATTTTAGACCTCTAGATTAAAACGCCGTTTTTTTTCTTTATTCACATAAGCTAGTCAATCAATATCTTGGAGGAAGTTAGCGTCCGTTTTTTTCGAGGCAGGCGTCTTCAGAGTGGTATAACTTTCCTTCTAATAAAGATTTTTATTTGAAATTCGTTTTACATATCTTGAAAAAATAACAAATAAATGGTAAAAAATCAAAAGTTTTCTCTTTCACGGTTCAAAAAAAAAAGTTTCCAAAAAAATACTTAAAAAACGGAATGTCACACGGGTCGACCGTCTTAAGAGAAAAATTCAAGAATCAAGAAAATGATTTCGAAGAGTTTTATTGTCTTGAATCAAGAGGGAAAAATCTTGAATTAAGTAAAATTTACTTAAATTAAGTAAAATGTCTTAATTCAATAATTTTTCTTCTTAAAAATGAAGACGATAAATCTCTTTAAGATGAATTTCTTAGTCTAAGAATTTTTTCTTATGAATCATGTTAGTTTTTTAACTTCCCGCTAAGAAAATTGAAAATTTTCAAAAACCGGGAAGTTATTGGTTTTACCCCGTTTTTCGAAAATCGAGTTTTCATCAGATCTCGACGTTTTGAGGTTCTAGGAAGCTTCCCTGACTATTCCCACGAGGGTGTCACTATGTCTGTATGTATGTGTGTGTGTGTGTGTGTGTGTGTAACTTGTGTAAACCTCTTGTAACTTTTGAACGACATGACTTTATATGACCGATTTCATCGCGGTTGATGTCATTCGAAAGGGCTTCACTAAACTTAGATTTCCTGAAAATTTGAACCGATTCGGACCGGTAGATTTCGAGAAAATGCAAAAAAAGTGAAAAAAAAATTGTTTTTTTTTTATTTTTTTCAAATATCTCCGAATTAGCTGAACCGATCGGTCTCAAAAACTAATCAGCTCTTAACCTTGAAAACCCCCATCGATCGCCACCAAAAACGTCAGAATCGGTTGATGCGTTCGTGAGATATCGTTGTCGAAAAAAATCGAAAAAAGTGTTTTTTTGTAATAACTTCGAAATTCATGGCTCGATCGATTAAAACTTGAAAATTTTCCATGGAGCTTCAAAAACTGCGTCGATTGCCGCCAACCGCCTGAAAATCGGTTCATTCATTCAAAAGTTATTGCCGTTTGAAAATTCAAAAAATTGTGTCTTTAACTGCTATTAGAGTTTTGAGCTCGAGGAGCTCAAATTGACGCAAAAATAATATTTTTGAGCTCGAAGAGCTCAAAAACGTAATGTGTAGTTTGAAGCGTTTAAGTACAAAATGGGCGGGAAGTTGCAGGGATGGCCTTTAGGGTGAACCGTTTTTCTAATTTTTTTTTTTCAATACACAGTAAGACCGTCAGAGTGTCACTTGATAAGGGCCCTGTTTAAATATCGGATCTTAATATTAATTTTCAAAGGCGTTTTGCAAACATCTATTTCCTATTAAATAACATGAGAAATTATTTTTTGAACTTCGGAATTTTGTAACTCGATAACAAAATATGTCACAGAGATGATGAAAGCATATTTCTATAGGGAACTTAATGCTCAATAAAAAAAGGTCTGAGTAAAAATTAGCGCAAGTCGAGCCGTTGCAAAGATAATTGACGCATAAAAATTGATCTGCTACGTGCAAAGATACACTGATAGAAGGATTTATTAACTATTAATAATTTGATTTATTTGAAGATAATAATTTAATTTATTAAATTTCAATAAATATTTTTTAACATTTAATAAATATTTATTTGGGAGAAAAGTACGTTTATTAATATTTAATAAATATTTATTAATAGTTAACAAATATTTATTAACAGTTAATAAATATTTTGTTGAGTGAATTTGTTTGGCTTGCAATGTCATATGATATGAAGGTTGCTTATAAACAAAAATCATCTTTATAAATTATTTGCATTAATTATATTATATTATAATAACATTTATTGTAAACTACCAAATTCTATCACAGCTCATAATTATTTTTTATATTTTTAAATATTAAAAACGTTGATTTATAAAGTGAATTGAATTATTATCATGTATTCCAGTTATAGGGTTATAAAAAGTGTCAAAAGAAAATTGCTATTTTTGCTTTTTATCCTAAATAAATATTTGTTAACAGTTAATAAATATTTATTAACAGTTAATAAATTCTACTTGATAAATACTTATTAACTGTTAATAAATATTTGTTAACTGTTAACTAATATATATTAATATTTAATGAATTGTATTTAATAAATAATTTATTAACTGTTAATAAATATTTATTAAATCCCATGATGTTAAAAAATCATTTATTAACAGTTAATAAAGCTTATTAAATATATACATCCATATAGATTTTAATAAACTTGCATTCTTTTCAGATAAGCCGTTTTAAAGAAATCGATGCGACTATCGAGGGAAATTTTTTTTATTCAGATTTACGGCAACACTCATATCTTTAAAACTATGTAACATTTTTTAATAAAAAATTTTGTAAGTATTGTTCGATGTACAATCCTGATGTTCCTTTATTTTCCCGGTCAAAAAAATGCTTGAAAATCACTTGTTTTTTCGGCCGTCACAGCGGCTATATCTCCCTTAATAAGATATCAATCAAAATAATAGTATTTAGTCATGAACTTACTTGTTAACATATTTACATAAGCACCATCAGAAATGGCGAAAATGTGTGGAGGCACTTCACTTCGTCGTTTACCACGATATAATTTTGCACATCGTGTCGTATAAACAGGGTAACGTTTATATGGATTGATTGCCACACAGAAAAGACCAGAATACGTCTGAAATATCACAATAATATAATTAAATGGAAATGTATTTGCAAGCAATTAAAAACTGTTAAATATTGATTGAAAACAAACATTCATTCGTTTAATGTAAAGGTTGCGTTAGCTTATAATATTGAATGGTAGATTAGTTGAAAAAAAAAAAAAAAAAAAAAAAAACTGAATTCAGATTGTGTAGCGTAATAGCGTTATTTTTTAAAAACTAAAAAAATCTCATTACTAGCTAAAAATCTATTACTCTTAACACAATAAATATTTTTTTGTTCCAAAAATCGCTTAGTCATTAAAATAATTAATTTATGCTATTTTAAGATTTTATGAAAATATGACTCAAATTTAGAATTGCAATATTTTGTCAAATACGAAAAAATAGTAATATTGAAAGATTATTGCTTTATTAAACATTTAAAAATCATAGAAAAATTTATGTTTGGGTAAGTAAATCTTGGCATCCTTTTGCAAACTTAAGGATTTTTTTAAAACAAAAAACATTAATCTTAAATTAGATATTTCTCTATTAAAAGTATAAATCACTAAGATTAAAGAAAACAAATAAGAAAAAAGGAACATGACGCATAAAAGTTGCAGTTTCACATAAAAATATAATATTTTTGATGTCTTACATAGATAAGTTTGTGGTAATAACGCTGTTTTAAATTGTGTAAAACAGAAGCATCGTTAAGATATGTTAAATTGGACATATCTTCAGCTTTTTCGTACTTGGGTGGGTTGACTTGTTGTAGTTGATCTTTCTTAAAGTCTTTCGTCTATATGAAAAATATAATAAGTATTCATTAATACATATATAAACTTAGATTAATAAGATTTTTATGAAAGCATTTCCGGGTTGAAAAAAAACTTAGTTTCGTCTTGGTTTGACTTATTTTCTTTTGAATTTATGAATTTGGCGACAACTTTATCTCAGATCTTGATTTTGATTGACTTTTTTTTGTCTTAATGTTGACTTTTTTTAATTTGAAAGTTATTTAGTTTCCCAAAATTTGACTTTTTTTGACTTAAACAAACAACTCGATATCGGGTCGCGAAATCTAGTCGTCTGCTTGATTTATTTTTGCTTTCTAATAACGAAAATAACAAAATGTTGATAAGATAGGATGAGTAAAGTACTTTCAATCTCTTCGATTGTAGAGTGGATACTTTGAATGCTGACATTCAAGAGGTCCAAGTTTCACGGAAAACAGGAATTTTATACTAATAATTAGTGATTTTTTCAGCTATCTAGGGGTCGTGTGTCTCTTCTCTTCATCTCAACGTGTAACATAATCAATTACAACTTTGATTGAAATAATGATACCTGACTATTATGAAATAGATAACGGCTAAGATAGCCGTGTAAAAGAAATCACCGATTACCGAAGTTCTGCCAAAAGAAAAAAAATAAAAAAATTTTTTTCAAAAAATATGCAAATTCAAAATTTCGCAATTTTTCTAGTTTTTCAATTTTGTTTTTGTAATATCTCGAACGCTATTATAGATACAGAAATGGCCTTTCATTTTTTTGAAAAAAGACACTTACGGCTATTGAAAAAAAAATATTTTGGAAAAAAATTTTGAACAATGTCAAATTTAGAATTTTTAAAAATCGTTAAAGATGACGATCGAAGTTAAAATTTTGGCTTAATTTTTTTTGTTTAATACCTTGTACTAATCTTAAAAGATCCTGAAATTTTTGGAACTGTTTTTTGTCTTTCAAAAATATGAATTTTTTAATTTAAAAAAAAAATTTTTCTCGTTTTTTTTTTTAACTTTTAAATAAGGTGAAGTTACGCAGATATATAGTATTGTAATTTTGAGGATGAAAAAATTAAATCCATGACGCGGAAATATTAAATAATAAATAAATTTCAACTTTTGTTTTATTCTTTGGACATAATCTTAAAATCAGACTTAAGGTAGTACTACCGTTACCATAAGAGTCAAATCATAAAACCTAACCTTATTTGATTAACGTAGTAGATTTCCCTATACTGAATCACGTTGAAGAAAGAGAGACAGAGATAAATTTTGAATGTTTTTTTTTAATAAATATTCTCATATTCTTAGAAACCATACTGATTATTATTAAATATGTTGTAGATGTTATTTTCTCTCGTTGTCTTGATTTTTATAAGAATCTGAACGTCCAGTTTTGTGAAATAAAATAAAGTCTGTGATTCTCCATAAGGATCAATGGTAAAAGAAAAAATATGTAGATATTATTTTACAGATTGTAAATTAATGCACTCTGAGTGGTTTATAAATACACGTAATAGACAGATAACTTTACCAAAAATTAGTAAAACTCTAAGTACCAAAAATGCGTCTTTTGTGGTAATAAAATATTTCAATCTAATTCCCAATAATCTAAAAGCTCTTGAATGCAAAAAGAACTTATTAAGCAAGAATTTTGGGAGGTGGATTAGATCTATTGAATTATAAATTAAGATACTATATTAGATAGCAAAATATTGTATTGGATAATGAATTTTTTTAACACGATTTATATATAATTAAATATTATTGTATTTTTCTGGTGTCTATGCACAGGTGTTATGCACCTCTATAGAATGTATATCAGAAGTAAAATAAATAAAAATAAAAAATAAATAAAAAAATATCTTTTTTTCAGGACTGGCTCAGGTTCCAAAAATTTTACTGCTTAATTATAATATTATAAAGTACCTATATGCCAAATTTCATTAAATTCTGAACGTCAATTCTAAAACCGGTAGTACTACCTTAACACATGACATAATTTCTTATTTTTTCAACGCATGACCTTTTTTCCGTTTCTTCACTTCAATTACAGTTTTTAAGGCCAAATAACTCAAAAAAATATTAATTTTCAACAAAAACCAGAAATAATGAGATGAGAATATCAATTTTTTTTCGATCCTTCGAATACGTGTTTACATACAAATTTCTGCAGATTAATGTTTCTCAATCTCAAATTTCAAATTATTTCCACGTTGATAGGACGAAAAGTGGTGTCAACAACTTAGAATAAAGTAAAAAAGGTCGAATAACGAATTATTTCATGCGTTAAGGTTGACTTTAAGATTATGTCCAAAAAATAAAAAAAAGTTGAAATTAATTTATTATTTAATATTTCAGCGTCATGAATTTAATTTTTCAATCCTCAAAATTCCAATACTATGTATCTGCATAACTTTACCTTATTTAAAAGTTGAAAAAAACGAAAAAAAATTTTTTTTTGAAATTCAAAAATTCATATTTAAAAAAAAAAACACCCTTCTTAAAATTTTATGATCTTTTAAGATCAGTACAAGGTATTATACAAATAAAATTGAGTCAAAATTTTAACTTCGATCGCTATTTTTAACGATTTTAAAAAATTCAAAATTTGACAAATTTGGCATTTTTCAAAATTTTTTTCCAAAATATTTTTTTTTTCAATAGCCCTAAGTGACCACTTTCAAACAAACGAAAATCCATTCCTTTATCTATAATAGCGTTCGAGATATTACAAAAACAAAATTTAAAAACTGGAAAAATTGCGAAATTTTGAACTTGCACATCTTTCGAAAAAATTTTTTTTATTTTTTTTTCCTTTAACAGAACTCCGTTATATGATAAAAGAAAACTTCTGACCAAAATTTGTCCAAATCGAAAGGGCTCGATTCCAACTATTTATCGTTTTGACATGGAATGACCCATATATATATATATATATATACTAGCAGCCACCCGCCCGCTTCGCTGCACGGTGAGAAATTTCTGTAGAAATTTACTATGCATACATAATAAGACTGAACCTTAATGACTCAATTTAACATATGAATAGTTAATAAAAATTTGTAAGATTCCTAAATAATAAAATATTTAATAATTTACCGAGAAAAATTAAGATTAAAACAAACATTTGATGGTTAACCTGCAACCGACACTTTTCTAATAATATTTATTATTATAATAAAAAATAATTTAAAAGTTATATATTGTGTTTATAATTATTTATAATAAAATTAATTGCCAAAATAAATCCTACGTTCAAATTAAAAATAGAAAACAAATAAAAAAAACTATATTTTAAAAAATATTTTTAAAAATTATTACAAACAAAAAAAATCTTGTTTGGTTTGATATTTTTTTTGATTGCTAAAAATATTTTTTACCCTAAAATTTTTTATTTTTTACAAACATTTTCTTATTTTTTTTGCTATAGTACATTCAGAAATTTAAATTATTGCATATTTCATTTTACTATGGTACATTTCAATTTCTACCGTTTGCTATGTCTGATTTCATTTGTTTCGGAAATTACTATGGGCCATTGTAAAATTTTATTCTGAGTCAATAAGGTTCACTAGTAATATGCACCATTGTAAAATTAAAAATCCATGCAGAATAAAAAATAATAGAAATTTCTCACCGTGTGGGCACACTATCATGTTAATCTTTATTTTTTATACCACTTTATGATTATTAGTAATGTCCGATTCATTAACTTATAGAAAGTGTATTTAAAATAAATAAAATTGAATAATTATTATTTGATATACTCTTTCCGAACTAATAGTTTTATTATCGTTTTACGTTCAAGTCTTCAATTTAAAGTTAATCGTGTACTTCACATCACAACAATTTTAACATCCCGCTAAAAAATCGGGAAGTTATTGGTTTTACCCCGTTTTTCGAAAATCGAGTTTTTAACGGATGTTGACGTTTTGAGGTCCTAGGAAGTCTCCCCGAATGTTTCCGTGGTCCGTATGTCTGTATGTATGTATGTGTGTGTCTATGTATGTATGTGTGTATGTATATATGTGACCCTCTTATAACTTCTGAACGGCTTGACCGATTTAATCGCGGTTGGCGCCATCCAAAAGGGCTTGATCAAACTTAGATTTTGAATACAATTTGGACCGATTCGAACCGGTAGATTTTGAGAAATCTCAAAAAAACTACAAAAAACAATTTTTTTAATGTAGTTTTTTTGGAATTACTTTTAAACGGCTTTACCGATCAATTCCAAAAACTAATCAGCTCTCAACATCAAAAAACCACATCGATCGCTGCTAGCCTGGTCACAATCGGTTCATTCGTTTGTAAGTTATCGTTGTCGAAAAAAAAACGGAAAAAATGTTTTTTCGGAATTATATCGAAATTCCTACTTTGATCGATTAAAACTCAAAGACTCTTTATGAGTACTGAAAAACTGCGTCGAATGCCACCAACTGCGTGAAAATCGGTTAATTCATTCAAAAGTATTGCGGTTTTAAAATTCAAAAGATAGTGTTATATTAAACTTTTACCAGATTTTTGAGCTCGGAGTGAGTACAATTTTGAACGCTTCAATATAAAATTATCGGGAAGTTGCAGGGATGGCCTTTAGGGTCAACCGTTTTTCTAATTTTTTTTTATAATGTTACTTTTTTAAACCATTTGGGAATCTTACAATTATAAGTTAATTTTGACCTATAACTTTTGGATAGAAAAATGATTAACTAACTAATAGTTTAGACTGAATCGACCTGGTAGAAAATTTGAAATCAGAATATATTTGCCTAACATTGTATAGAATAATACTGTTTATAATTTATAGAATATTAGTATTTAATTACTTTCTACTTTTATTCTAATGATTCCTCTGAATTTAATTGACAACCGAATTTGTTATTACAATTTATTTATTTTGACAGTTATTATAGCAACGGTTACCATAGTAATGGTAACCATAGTAACGGTAACCATGGTAACGGTAACCATGGTAACGGTAACCATGGTAACGGTAACCATGGTAACGGTAACCATGGTAACGGTAACCATGGTAACGGTAACCATGGTAACGGCAACCATGGTAACGGTAACCATGGTAACGGTAACCATGGTCACGGTAACCATGGTCACGGTAACCATGGCAACGGTAACCACAGCAACGGTAACCATGGCAACGGTTGTGGGGGAGGGTAGGGTGGGGTTGAGTTCTATAATTGATAGGTGCCACTGATTGGTTCTTAGATTGGAGAATCAAAATGATATTTTTTCCCTAAAAAAAAAAAGAGAGAGAGATAGGGAAGGGGGAAGAAGGCACGACAGGGGAGAAGAATGAGAGGGAGGGGAGGGGGTAGCATACGTGATGGTTATCGAAAAATCCATTTGGGCTAGGAATTGCGCAAAATCCCTTCTTATTTCTCCTCTATGGTGAAAAAGGAGTACCTATGCCAAATTTTAAATGAATCGGTCCAATAGTTTCGGAGATCTGGTGATGAGTCAGTGGTATTTCGCTTATATGTATATAGATATTGAATTTGTTAGTGATTTCTGTCATTTTTTAAGGACTTTTTTTATGAATCGTCCTTTATAAGTCAATTTTTCTGACATTCTAATTATATTTCCGAATAAATGTATATAAATAAATAAACGCATGTGTCAAAACAGAGGTTAATCCACAGTTAGTCCAAAACACTGCAGTATAACCATTATAAAATATCTCAACGCTCACGCAGCGTTGCCAGACTTTTCAAACGATCAGTTTTTCGTTCGTGATTCACAGATTCGGTAGAATCTGGCGCCAAGTTCCGTTGTCAACGGAGCGCCAGACTACCGACTGTGTTTACTGTAAGCAGAACGGTATTTTAAGGTTGCAAAATTTTATTTAATTCTACGGTACTTTTTTTTCCTAAATTGTATATTATAACAGGAATTCATACTTTATTTTACTGTTATTAATTAATTATATTCACTTATAACAATTAATCTACTTGAAATTACTAACTTTAATCAGCACAAACTATAGCAACGCAAAAATTTCGATCCTGACTTTTTTTCGATGGGCAAAGTGATCTGCCACAGACTAAATAATTCGAGAATGCATAGTAATCCGTCATTAGATGGGAAACTACAGTTGAAAAAAGATATTTCACAGCTTGCATCTACACCCGCCAGGGTGCGCTGCAATTATTTTTACATAAACTGTAGCTTCAAGGGGATAGTTTGCCATAAAAAATGCAGCCAACGCGAGATTTAAGTTGGTACCAATTGTAAATTTTTATTATAATTACAAAAAATACTAAAATCCGAACAAAAACAGTTTCACTGTAAAAAAATCGCGCCAAGTCCACATTCATAAGACTATTAAGAAAAAAAAATTAGTTTTTTTCTTTACAAAAAGATATAAAATTACAAAATTAAAAAATCCAAGTAACAGATATGATTGTTTATGATTTTCGGAAATTAAAAAAAATTTTGTTGTAAATTTAAAAATTAAAAAAAAAATTTTGGAACGTACTTGGTGTGCGCGGTTGCAAAATATTTTACTTTTAATTAAATTCGTAAAATCTATTTACTAGGACTTTAAAAAAATTGAAATACACAATATGACGCATATATATACCCTACACTCTAGCATAAACTTTTGGCTACGGAAGTCGCGAGGGTTCTACCTTAATCGATTCAACAATCATTTCTCTCTTTATCCATGTTTGTTATTCTATTTATGTGTATATTATGACTGAGATGTCAGTTAGTACACGGAAAAAAAATCCTATGAAAAATTACAATAGTAACATCGTAATCCAGAACTAGACTTTCAGTAACTTGATTTTTACGATGCTGCTGTCTACCGAATACAATTTGAATTATTGAAAATTACGATGTTATTTAGTAAATTTTTTTTCCGCAAGAGCAGCAAGTGAATATTAAGGACGCATACTATGTATATGTTTTAATAAAAGAGAGATAGAGTCCAGTAGTTTGTGACGCCACCACCGAAAGATGACCAACTACTGTATGGAGGGTCTTATTATGTAACTGAACAGAAATTTACATATTCCTATCGATAGTGTAAGGGGATAATTCTTATACTAAGAAATTTTTTTTGATTAAAGTAATTTTTATTCAATTCAATAATTTTTCGTCTTGATTGAAAATAATGAAACTCTTGAAAATAATGTTATTGGTTCAAGAATTTTTTTCGTGATTCAAGTTAATTTTTTTTTTTTAGCATAGGCGATAATCGAACATACCTACGCATGTCCGTGCTTAAGGTATAGGATTACAAAAAAAAATGTATGTATTCTATTTTACAAAATAAAAAAAAATGATTCTTACCTCACCCCCCGGCAATATAACTGAGACAATATCGCCTTTCGTAGCTTTAATTTCTCCAAGCAGATATCCTTCTTTTTCATCAGGTACCCAGCAAGCTTTTTTAGCATCATAAGGTTTGGATTGATCAATTCTCTTTTGTTCAAGAGATACGAACAGGTAGGGAGTAGGATCGGGATCTTCCCCCACTTGTACTGCTGGTTTCGGCATTTTTAGTTAATTTAAATATCGTTCGTCTTCGAATTAGTAAAAATTTTTGTTTTTTTCACTTTATTCGAGAATACTGGAAGTCTTAGAACGACGATCCAGAGTCCAGAACAAGATTGATATTCAAGGTGACAAAATTGTTGTTCGTGACGTTCTGTTTTACCCTGAAGTAGATAAAATTATTATTAGTGGCACGAAAAAAAATGTACTACAATTTATATTTTGCTAATTCACATTAATTTTTAGTAATATCTATTTTATTTCAATTTGAAAAGTAAAATAATTATAATAAGAATTGAATTTGTCACACCGATAAAAAAAATTATTTTGATTCAAAAGAAACAATCTTGATCCAAAAATTTATTTTTTGAACACAATCAGTCTATTTTCTTCAAAAATGTATCATCTTAAATTTCATTATATTTCGATTCAGAGATCAAGATTTTTAAACGATAACTATGATAACTTGATTAAAGTATTTATTATCTTCGATCGATAGAATTAAATCTTACGTCTGAAAACAATTTTCTCCAATTAAAAATCATTTCGCTTTCTTTTAAGAACTTTATATTTTCGATTCAAGAATTAGCTCCTACATTAATAATTACCATAAAAGAATCTTTTCCATTATAAGATACAGAAAATAAATTTTTTAACAAAATTCTTTTGCTCTTTATCTAAAAGTTTTAATATTATTAATTCATAAGTTTAACTTTTAAATTGAGAAAACTGAAAATTTTGAAACAAGAATAAATTTTTGAAGAAAATATTTTTTTTTAATTAAGTAGTTTTATTTTTTTTTTTTTTTTTCGGTGCACATATAACACGCGAAACTGTTGCTGGATATTGAAGCAAATATTCCAAAAGTATTGCAATATAATGTTTACAGATATCCGTTTTATTTATTTCTTTATATGCTACATCGATATCATCACTTGTTACACAGAAAGGAAATTGATATAATAGCAACTACATCCTTATTCTTTTCTTAATATATTTACGTTTGAAGGATATTCACTGAGGTTTCGTAATATATAATTGCTCACAACACTTAGTTGGCCATTGATAAAAACTTTAAATCAAGAAAGTTAATAATGATAAGCACATTTAAATTCAATTTCTGTGTCGAAAATATTTTTTGACTCAATATATGAAAAGTTTACTGTAGGAAAACTTCACTGTGTTTTTAAACTAAAGCAAAATCAATATTTCATGTAATAAAAAAAAAAAACAAATAAATAAATATTTTTCACTTGGTGTACCTAGTTAGTAAAACAATATTCACATTGAAATAAAATCACCAAACATATTATACCCACGGACTTACTTTTAAAAGCTGTTCTGACAGGGCGGCGTATACTAAACCTCAATATAAGCACGTGCAACGTGATCCCAATTTGTAACGTACGATCGCATTGGCTGGCGATGCTAACCAATCCAGTCTTTCGTTATTGTGTAGTTAAATCTACCTTTTTAGGCGGAGACGACACCAAATGTGTGACAGAGTAAAACGTGCAGCGCATCAGAAGTCAGATGAAAATAGATATACAGAAAACAGTTTAACCTTATTGTAAACTATATTAATTCCAACTAATTTTTAGCAATCAATGTTAATAACATCGTTAAAAAAATAAATTTTCGATTGCAGTTCTGAAAGGAATGAAAAAAAAAAAAATAAAGTACGTTTAACCTTTACGCACGGTTTGAGTAACACTTCCTTGACATTGTAATGGTTATAAGATAAGATAATTTAATGTAGATAAATTATGCTAGAATTTAATAGTATAAAGTGATAATGGTGTATTACTTGGAAAAAGAAGCATGGTATATGTATATATTTACATCGAGTATTGCAAATAAAGTAATTCGAATATTATTAATTATTACAATTTCAATATATACAAGCCGCGTTATTTCGTATATACAGTCGTCGTCATTGATTGTAACGGTTGACAATGATTAGAGTAAAATCGAAAATTCTCAATTTGGACATTTCTCACTAAAAATTTCAATTAATAATATGTTCAGAAAATAAAAGAAATGAAAGAAACTATGAAGAAAATTCACATAAAATAAATAATTGTAAGCTCAGACAAACATAATTATAGAAATTTATCAAAAAAAAAGTACTCTACATAGAGTCAATTAAAGATAAAAAATTATTATATAGGCATGGTCATTTTTCATGCCTGATCAGGCCTAAAGACTCATGCCTGTTCATGTCTGATCAGGTCTAATCATTTTTTCCCGGGGACCTGATGAAAACTCGATTTTTGCAAAACGGGGTGGAAACAATAACTTTCCGATTTTTGAAAATCTTCGGTTTTCTTAGCTGAACGTTAAAAATATTTTAGAAAAAAATTTAAAAAAATGCCAAATTTTGAATTTTTGAAAATCGTTAAAAATGAAGTTTGCCGTTAAAATTTTGGCTCAATTTTTTTTGTTAAATACCTTGTACTGATCTTAAAAGATTCTGAAATTTATAGAAGGGTGTTTCTATTTTTTTCAAAAATATGAATTTTTGAATTTCCAAAAAGAATTTTTTTTCGTTTTTTGCACTTTTTAATTAAGGTAAAATTATGCAGATACATAGTATTGTAATTTTGATCGTGAAAAAATTAAATGCATGACGTGGAATTATTAAATAATAAATTAATTTCAACATAATTTTTTGGACATTATTATCTTAAAGTCATCTTTAACACATGAAATAATCTGTTATTTGTCCTTTTTTTACTTTATTTCAAGTTGTTGACACCACTTATCGTCCTATCAACATAGAAATAATTTGAAATTTGAGTTTTGAAATTTTGAAATTTGAAATTTCATGCGTTAAGGATGACTTTAAGATAATGTCCAAAAAATAAATAAAAAAGTTGAAATTAATTTATTATTTAGTATTTCCACGTCATGCATTTAATTTTTTCACGATCAAAATTACAATACTATGTATCTGCATAATTTTACCTTAATTAAAAAGTGCAAAAAACGAAAAAAAATTCTTTTTGGAAATTCAAAAATTCATATTTTTGAAAAAAATAGAAACACCCTTCTATAAATTTCAGAATCTTTTAAGATCAGTACAAGGTATTTAACAAAAAAAATTGAGCCAAAATTTTAACGGCAAACTTCATTTTTAACGATTTTCAAAAATTCAAAATTTGGCATTTTTTTAAATTTTTTTCTAAAATATTTTTAACGTTCAGCTAAGAAAACCGAAGATTTTCAAAAATCGGAAAGTTATTGTTTCCACCCCGTTTTGCAAAAATCGAGTTTTCATCAGGTCCCCGGGAAAAAATGATTAGACCTGATCAGACATGAACAGGCATGAGTCTTTAGGCCTGATCAGGCATGAAAAATGACCATGCCTGATCAGGCATGAATCGACCTGATCAGGCCTGATCAGACATGGTCAGGTCTGAAAGCCCATTGTTACTTTTAATTAATTATTTTGCTTTATTTTATGGATATAGTACTTGATAGAGTCATACGCAATTCTCTATAATGAATTAAAATAAAAAAAAAAATGATTACATATAATTATACGGCTGCAACACCAGCAGTCACCCATCCAACTACTAATCACGCTCAATGCGGCTTAACTTTGGTGATATCCGTGCGCCTTGAAGTTCCCGCCTGCTGTGTTGCTATCTTATGTGACAACAATTCTATGAAGTACATAACGTATCAAATAAGTTTATCATAAATATAAGATGAAAATTGATTTTATAATATATTTTGATAGTCCTAATTTATTTATTTAAACGAATCTCATTATAACATCACATTTACTTAAATAACAAAATAAGTAATGATTTTAATATTAGGCAGGAGCAGAGCACACCAAAACATTCCATAGGAAATGTAACAAATTTTTTATTCCAAAATTATTTAAATGTAATGATAAAAATAATTTTGCACATTTTGTGATGACCCAAAAAGTTTTTTTCGTCAAAGAAAAAATTTTCATCACATTTCTGACTATGCAGAGGCTATGATAGGCCTGACTAGACATGGACAGGCTTGATCAGACCTGAGTGTATTTAACGCTTCAGAGATTAAAGACATGAACAGACCTGGTCAGACCTGAGGTATTTGACGCTTCAGGCATGAACAGGCCTGCTCAGGCCTGAGCGTATTTAACACTTCAGACATGAAGAGGCATGGGCAGGCATGAACAGGTCTGATCAGGCCTGGTCAGGCCTGAGCGTATTTAAGACTTCAGACATGAACAGGCGTGGACAGGTCTGATCAGACATTGATAGGCCTGCTCAGGCCTGAGCGTATTTAAGACTTCAGACATGAACAGGCATGGATAAGTCTGATCAGGTATGGACAGGCCTGAGCGTATTTAACACTTCAGACATGAACAGATACGAACAGGCATGGACAGGTCTGATCAGACATGGACAGGCCTGCTCAGGCCTGAGCGTATTTAACACTTCAGACATGAACAGGCATGGGCAGGCATGGACAGGTCTGATCAGGCCTGGGCAGGCCTGAGCATATTTAGCGTTTCAGACATGAATAGACCTGATCAGGCATGATCATGTCTAATTTCAGGCCTGGTCATGCATGAACAGGCATGGTCAGGTCTGATCATTTTTTCCCAGGTCACAGGAAGCTTCCCTGACTACCCCCGCGATGCTGTCACTATGTCTGTATGTATGTATGTATGTATGTATGTATGTATGTATGTATGTATGTATGTATGTGTGTGTGTGTGTGTGTGTGTGTGTGTGTTTTCCCTTTAGGGGGGGGGGAATCCTTTTTACGGATTCTAGGCATATAGTCGGACTACTGAAAGTTTTCCCTTTTCGTTCCTGGGTACCTCACACGTCCCCACCACAAAAATCCCCACTCTTACGAGTGACCGACGCACGCACTACTTGGATAAATACGCGACAAGAAAATAGTCCCGAACAGACTTCTAGTCAAAGAAAAGAGGGGGGACGAGACAGAAAGCCCTATGACTTACGGTTTTAATTCTAAAAAAACGGAAG